GTGATTTTTATGCGCAGTACAGGATGCACAGTGCATGACTGAGGAATCACCTCAACTCTCATAAAGAAAGCTGGTCACATGCAAATAAAGATAAATCGCCAAAGTCGCTAATATCGCCTTGGGATGCACAAAAAAAAGTTATTTTTGGACGACATTAACCAAACAAGAATCCCCAACGCTAGCTCTAATTGCTGAATTTTTCCCTTTGCATACCGAGACCTAAAAAAGTCTGTAATGTCGTTTTCACATAATTTGTTCCTTTAAAAATCCCTTATATAATGAATTTTTTTGTATAGACTAAATTTCTCTGCTTATATAAGTCACGGCTCAGTCCATTATTTTCATGTTTTTAAAGTTGACGGAGGTTACGCTCACTGGAACGAGTGGAGTGAATATTCTGCTAACTGCGGGGGAGGAATACGCTGACGTAATCGGCAGTGCACCAATCCTAAACCACAACAGGGTGGAAAAGATATTTCGGAACTGGGGCCCATTCATTTCAGACTTTTCATAATTGAGTAGACGATTGATTGAGGGCTTTTAAACGCTCGTAATACCTAACGGAAAGTCGTGAGGGATGTGGCGTGCTACAACTCAGATCATAAGGCCCGAGGTCTTTTCCTGGCCAAGGTCAAATTTTGCACTTACAATGCCCTCTTCTATCCGGAAGCATTAATAGTCACAAGCAGATTGTCAGCGAATGTTTATGAAATTCAAGAGGGGGGAGGGGGTGCAATGGATAAGTATTTCATCCAAAGAAAGTAGCGATATCCCTTGTCGCTTTGAGGAGCCCCGAAGGTGCAGGTCACTCGGTTCATGTATTATTTAGCACTATACAAAGCAACGTTTGAGGGCGTCTTTATCTATTTCCAGTTGATGGTGGTTATAGCAATTGGCTCGAATGGAGCGATTGTTCTGCCACCTGTGGCGGGGGCAGAAGAGCGCGCAGCAGGAAATGTGACAACCCTATACCGCAGTATGATGGAAAGAACTGTGTTGGACCCTCATTGCAAACAGAGGATTGCAATATGAAAGACTGCCCACGTGAGTGCAAATGATCTTTAAACAACTAACTACAGAAATTTGCCACTTTGCAATCAGGAGCCTGATCTGCTGTCCTCATTTTCAAGTCACGGACCTAATATGGCACGACACATTGGTCACTTTCAGGCAAATTATTACTATTGTACGTAAAAGGGCTTATATTCTTAGTGAACAGATGTTTTACAGTTGTAAAGATAGGAGATACATATTCGTTACCACGCTGCGGAACAACGGCATAAAACGATTCAGTGTTTGGAGACTTGACTCTCGCCATAGCGTTCAAAGAACACCCATGCCTTTACAGAAAATTGACCTTATCTCAGTTCGATAGATTGAAAGTTCGAGGCGAAGTATTGTAAAAGGCCAGGAATCGATGGCTCTTCATACTAATAGCTAGCTGACTATCACATTCCCAACTATTGATTATGCAGTGATACTCACCGGTTTTTCTTTCTGTGCACGCTTGTTTGCATCTTATCCTAATGCGTTTTAAATTTCAATGATCACCCGTACAATAGCAGGCCTGTTCAGTTCCAAATGTCTCCTCGCCGCCTGTTATATTACATATTGTAGCATTGCATATCTGAAAACGAGTACTTTGGTCATGTTTGACGTTACTACAGTGATCTCCCCATGGGCGGTACGTCTTGCTACAAAGGTCTCTGAAAAACTCATTGGGGTTTTGTTTTGTCACGTGATCACAAGTCCTTACGGTACAGGTCAATCTGCAAGTATAACCTGTAAAGTTGCAATTCTGTAACCAACCCTTCCTGCCATATTCTATTGTGCAAGGTATTCCA